CCATTCTCACCTTTATCCTACCTAACTTACCATTCTTCCTGGTGATGACTCAAAGGAGACGTCTGCTTTCACTTCAAAAATCCTCCTCTTCTTTTCCTCCTCTAATAGTGGGCAAAAATCTGCTCATAATAATTAGTTGTTTTGGGCAGGATGAAGCAGTTTGTAGAAGGTGTAATGAGAAATGAAATTATGCTCAACAAAAACATTAGTAAATTCTCAATCTGAAGACTTAACTCTGGCTTTGAGTTGTTGTAGATACYATTAGGGGCCTGAATGATTGAATGTCTGATTATATATACAAATTGTTTTGTTTCTTTTAAAAAACATATAGAAGTTTGTAGAAGATTGACCTGTAGTTGATAGAGGAGGAAAATCCTGTTGACTTTATGGACTCAGGTTAATCTGACTCACTCTAAGGTAATACAGGTCACTTGAGGCACTTGAGTTCAGGCTGATTTTTATACTTCAAGTTGCACATCTTGCTCACATTCTTGGATTACAAAAAAATAGGATAACTTCCGTCTGTTGTCTCCTGGTGACACCCGTCATGTGCATTGACCCCAGTCATAACTCTGTCCTGCAGGCCTTGCAGCTCACAGCGTCTGATTGGTCAGAACTTTGTGGGCGTGTTTGTTGGAGCAGTGCAGCATCGTGGAACAGCACCCCGAGCAGCGCTTCTTTACGCATGTCATTTAGCCGAAAATGATCTATTCCCAGAAGCCTTTCGTTAAATCTGAAAGATGCACAGGTTTGATGAGCAGCCGCTCTCCATGTGAGCACATGAACATGCAACCAATGTTCACAACTTTTCTCCAGCTTCCATTAACAAAAAGAAATAAAAAAAGGTTTTTGTTCTGCCTACTCCCAACCCAACACAACACTAATACATCGTTGACTGAAAAATATATATATCCTGCTTTCGCTGTTGTTTATATGCTTAGTCATGAGCTGTGCTACAGTGGAAGTGCTGCGGTCAGAGGAAGACAATCTATTCCCTGCCACGTCTTCAATAGCCTGACATGTTTATAGACTGACCCGAACCCAACCCAAATTCAGGCCTGCTCCGCTCCAGTCTGATTTACTTAAAAAACTATGGTGGTCCAAACACAACAGCACTAAAAGGTTACTGTAGGCTACTTATGCATGTATTAAAATTTAACCCCAAAAATCATTTATCATGAAAAAAATTGGGAACCCCTGATCTATATAATTTAAGTCATTGGCTGAGCCTTTCATTCAGTTTGGGTTTGTAGAAATCTGGGACAAAACAATATGTTTTAATGGGGTCAGAAAACAAGTTAAAAAGGACAATTCATCTGAAGTAACTTTCTCCAAACTCGTGAGTAAATTTGTAAAAAACTCGTCCCTTCGCAGGTGTTCATCAACACATCAAAGCTGAATACGCTTCTTCTCAAGTTTTATATGAACCAAATGGATTCCAGCACGCCCAGCCATGAAATATATTCACTTCTTTGGCAGAAAGCAGACGTTAACTGATCGAGATAACTTTCAGGTGTCAGACATATACATCTATGTGCACACAAACTTTGAGCGTGTTTGACATTCTGCTGCAAGACCACTTTTGCCTCTCTCTTGCCCTCATCTCTTGTCCACATTTACGCAATGCTAGAAAAATCAGGACTGAAAGGAGAAACAGAGCAGGAAGGAGTGAAATGAGCAAGTCTGGCTTAGTAACAAAGAAAGTCTGGCAAAACAGCCCCTCTTCGCTCTTTCGGTTGTCAACATGCATCTAATCCACCAGTTTGGAGACTGTTACATGGAGTCAATATGCAATTTGAGGCAGGTTGATAGATATCATTGGAGTGATTGATTTTGACCTTTTACTTGACAGTGTCTGCTGTACACATTCTCCACAAAATAATGAAAAGTGTTGGAATCCTTATGTCTTTAGCTTCTGCCTCTTTTCTTCTCCTAAATAAGTGCTGCTTGTTAATCCCTCTCATATGTCTGGCTGTAGGTCTGCTCCTTTGACTTTATCTCCAGGAGCAGAAGGAGGGGAAAAAAAACTCAGAGAGGTGATATGGGCCATATCGATTTGCGCAAACATGTCACAGACATAAACACACACACACGGATACACACTCACTCACACTTGTGAAAGCACGGCTAAGCTACAGGGCTCAAGATTAAACTTTAACCATCCCGCACCACTTCTACTTGTTKATTTATAATCTAATTTAATGATATTTGCAAAAAAAGTGTGCCAGCTCACTTCCTGATTCAGTCATCGCACTCTAGGCTCATGATCTCATCATCTTCACAGTATTTAATGTGAGCACAGACCAACATCCAGCACCGAATCAGTTTGGTGATCATAGTAACCACTCTAGTAAACTCCATTGAACCGTTGATTACTCTAGTCATTACTAATGATGTGACTAATGGCTTGTTTTTGGGTTCCCATTCATTTTTGGCTTAGCTTACCAAAACATTGGCTCATTTGGCTCTCAAATGGCTCTTCAGTTACTTGTGAAGAGCCATTTCTGAATCAACTCTTTTAACTTTAAACCAGGTCTCTTGGAGCTGGCTCAGAGCCACTGGACCCATTATTAGTCATCACTTACCTGAAATCCTGTATTTTCCTCATGCAGTTTTCACCCCTGGTGCACACAGACTGCCTGGTGTTTGTATCAGTCATACATGTTCATCTAATGATTACTTCCCAAGAGTTTTATTACAGTGGTTGAGATACTTTGTAAATACAGGGTTGACGTCAACAGCTAATGCTAAAGATTTCATGCAATTAGAGGCACTTTGATTATGTTGTTGTAAATGGTCCTTAGCTACAGTTAAACCATATTTTTGTGCAGTATCTGTAAAAGTGACCGAATTATAATAACTGTGTTTTTTAGGGTGGGTTGGCTGTGGCAGCCATCTTGGATTGAGTTGAATCCAGAAGTTAATCGGTTGAAGTTGTGGAGCCACTTCCTGACATTTCATCAAAATTTATTAAAGGGGCAATATTATGTGTTTCTCAGGAATACTTTATGAGGCATTTTGGTGATTTCTCACCTTATGCCTCCCCGTTACCTGGCAAAGCACCTGCTGATTGGACACACCTGCAGCGGAGCTGGCTCATCAGTGTTGGCTTTAAAAGGAAGACTGAAGGATCAACTCATCGCTGAAGCATCAAACCGCTTTTGGTAAAAGATCTCAGCCTAAGACTATTTTTGAAAACCTGATCTGTCTAACCTTTGTATTCTCTCGTGTACTTACCTGTCTCCAGTTAAAAGAAACCGCCTTGGAACTGTTTTTGGATCCTGACCAAGTCTGCCTGCCTGCCGAGCCTCTCACCTGTTTCATGCGTTGCCTCCTCGCCTCACCTGTAAATACAACACACTCTTGTAAATATCACCTTTGGATCTTTGGACTCTGGACCTCCTCCTCCATGTTTAACCCCAAGCCCTCACTAGTAAGCATAAATATAATTTGTTGAATATCACCTCCTAAAAACCTGTTACTTACCTCTTCAAATCCTCTGCTTCCAGGTCCCGCTCCCCGCTCACTCACTGTGTAAATAAACAAACAATTATTTTATTATTCAAGTTCTTGCCTCCTGTGTTGTTCTTGGTGTTTGCTCACGTTGACCTTGTTTAAAACCTGTTACTTTAAATACTATACCATAATAAAGTATCTATGTCACATTTAGCTGTTACTAAAATGCTGATTTTATGTTTAAATAGAAAATAAACTTCACTTCCTCTTCTAAACGCCTTGAAATTGGCTTCTGTCTCTTTAAGAAYCACCTTCCGCTTCTGTCACGCCCATATCGGTGCTGGGGGAGGGGGGGCGCTGCCATGATGCAGCTTACTTGGCATCTGAAAATACATTTCCTCAAAGGTATTTTGAATCTGAAAAGAGCTTCACTGAGTGAGAACTAATGTCGAGAGCGCAACAGACAGTTTAAGTTTCACTTTCACTTTCACCCGAGAGCCTGCAGGAGTCATGGGCGGGGTGAGGAAGTTCGGCTTAAAGACATGTCCCAGGGGCATTTCTGGTACCAAAAGGCATTTCTGGTCCCCACCTGTTGTTTTGCTCCTCAGCATGACTTCCTAAAAACGCTGCAGGATTTCTCAAACATGCATGAATGAGTCAAAGCAAGGCTTTGGACATGTTTTTATGGGAGTATAACATTATAACATGATATAAAACTCAAAAAAGTTGATTTTACATGATATTGCCCCTTAAGTGTTTCATAACAGACAGACACAGGAACATGTTCATATAGATGTGGGTCAGTGAGCACAGTTAATTGATGCATCTGCACTGAGTTTTACAATTAAATTCATCAATATGCAATCTTTTTTTCATATCTGACTTTATTCCTCAAGAAAAGATTTTCAAGGTTTCCCGTTTGAAAATTACCATCTACTTTCTGCAAGATGGGTACATGTTGCCCTTGTATTATGACTCATTGCCATTCCAGTCGTTCTACCATTTAGACCCCCTCTCTCCCATCTGTACCTCATTATCCAAGTTAAGTCATCATCACCAACAGCAACCTTTGGTTTTATTTCATCCCAAATCCAAATTTTTTGCCCCATGTGACCCATATCAGCGTTTTTCCATGACAGTCCAAATGTGACAAACACATTTTTTTCTAATCCGACCCAGGTCTTTTCAGTATGTGATACTGAGTTGGATTCTTAAAGTCAAACAGCCGGGTACGTCGAGACATGACTGTGTCAGATACACAAAATTACTTGTAGTTTCATGGCTAAAACAATGTCCACATTTAAAAGCAGATGTGTCTTTTTTACTGAAATTTACTAAAGTTTGACAATGAAAGCAACAGAATAAATTACATGAATAGAGAATGGAGGCACTGAGGGAAATAATCAATTTTAGATGGTGGTTTCTGTTGTTGGATCACTACCAGAACCTAAACTGCTAACAAGTAAAAAGTAACTGAAGCCATACGCTTGGGCATTAAAAAGGCAAGGACCCTGCAGAGAACAAAGTGAGTATAGCGTCAGGGCTACAGAAAAAAGACCACTGTTTTATTTTATTTTTTATACAACAGATGAACACATAGCTGAACACAGGGTTGTACAACTCAGATTGTCAGGAAAAGGACACAGATAGAGAAACATGCAATAACTCACGTGAGAAAGCAAGTTTGTCTTCCAGTTTCTTACATGTAATTTTAGAACTTCAATCTGGCAAAACCCTCAAGTTGTGAATAAGCTACGGATGGTTTCAAATATGATTGTTTCTGTGTCTGCTCCAATGTTTTATTGTTACACTTTTGTTAAATGGAAATTGTTAAAGTAGAAATCGATCATCGAATCACAAATGCAAGAGGAGCACTGTGGCTTCTRCCCTGGTTGTGGAACAGTGGACCAGATATTTTGCRGAGTTGCTAAAGGAGTCATGGGAGTTTACATCTCTGGTCTACATGAGTTTTTCAGACATGGAGAAGGCTTATGATCGTATTCCTTGAGGCATCCTGTGAGGGGTTGTGCTGTGGGAGTATAGAATGTCTGGGTTGCTATTAAGAGTGATCCAGTGCCTATATGACCAGAGCAGGAGCTTTTTCTCAGTGCTGGTTGGACTCTCTGCCAGGGCTGTCCCATGTCTCCGATCCTGTTTGTAGTGTTTATGGACAGGGTCTCAAGGCACACTTGTGGAGAGGAGGGTGTCTGGTTTGGAACCACAGAGTCTTGTCTCTGCTTTATGTGGATGATGTTATGTTGTCATCTTCAGGCCAAGACTTTCATCGTGCTCTGGGGCAGTTTGCAGCCAAGTGTGAAGTGGCTGGGATGAGAGTCAGTTCCTTTAAATCTGAGGCCATGGGTCTCGACCGGAAAAGGAAAGTGGAGGAGTTTAAGTATCATGAACCTATGGTCATGAGTCATGGATCATGACTGAAGGAAGGAGATCATGGATACAAGCAGCTAAAAAGAGTTTCTTTCATAGGGTGGCCGGGCTCAGCCTTAGACGAGGAGTTACGTCATCCGGGGAGAACTCAGAGTAAAGCCACTGCTCCTCCGCATCAAAAGGGGTCAGTTGAGGTGGTTCGGGCATCTGATTAGGATGTCTCTTTGATCTCACCCTTTAGAGGTATTCTGGGCATGTACCACCAGCMGGAGGCCCAGGGGGAAGACCCAGGACTCACTGGAGGGATTTAGTATCCTCTCTGGCCTTAGAACGCCTTGGGGTCCCTTAGGACGAGGTGGAAAATCTCACTGGGGGGAGGGATGTCAGGGTTTCTCTCCTGGACCTTTTGCCTCCGCAACCCAACTGTGGATAAGCAGCAGAAGATGGAAATGGAGATTTTTTAGCATCATGTACAATTTATATAGTATATTACCTTTATATTATCTATCTTTTTTAGAGTGGCTCATGTTATTACTGGAATATTCTCTGGCAAACTCTGAGTCAGTTTTGCACTTTATACTTAGCTTCTGCTACGTTTTATTGAACGGAAGCGCTTTCGAGCTTTTACAGCTAACTTTTGGATTAGCGCTGCCCACCACTGTTACCTACTTTCAAAATGTGCCATTTACCATCTAAAGTTAAAGCTATCACATCGTCACCTATCTAAAATAATCATCTGTCATTTTTTTGTTGTTTTTCAGGAAACACACAAAAACGTCACTAAAAATGTATTTTATGGCATTTTCTTGAGGTTCCTGGAAAACCTTTTAAAATCACTTGAGTGAATATTTTAGAAAAGTAAAAATGTACAAAATATAAATATATTTTGTTTAAAACAAAACAATAATGAATCAGGATTAGACAATTTTTTAGGAATCATGGATAGAAAGGTAAATTAGACGATTTATGGGATGATTAGTGGTAAACTGGTACAAATCAAGCAAATAAGCTGTGCAGTTGTGAATAATTGCATGATTTCAGTTTCTAGATGACATATTTTTCAGGAAAAGTGTTGATGTTTTCAGAATGACAGTAATACAAAAAAATGCAATTAAATAAAAAACAGATAACCTYCATAAGTCACTACGTTAGAAAACAAATTTTGTTTTCAAAAATGTTTTCCTAAACACAGACAGAGTGCATATTTGAATGAATCAAGGCTGAAAAAGGAACTTGTTTTTTTATTTTTTAAGTGTGGAGGAAAAATTCAGCCTCTCAGCCTGAGGAGACAAACTGCAACGAAGTCAGGCAGCAAACAGCAACCTGTCAGGCAGAAAACTCCAAATTTGAAGCTCCTAATATCAAACAGTTGGCGTTTCTAACTGAGCTGAACAACAGCACTAYGTTTCACAAGCACCGCAGTGATATAAGACCATGTAAAGCACGTCTGCAGTGCATTCAATGCCACAACTTGTATTGAGATTTGTACCCTGCTCCCCCATTTTCCAACATAATCAGGCAGCTGTGCGTACAGCCTCCCACAGATTTAGACTCTTTGTCTTAAGACAGGCGGCAGCTTTAAAACAGATTTAAATGCTGTCAACATCAACAAGATAAAGACGGTGGCACGTCAGCCCCCCGGTTGCCACGTTTTGGTGAGAAATGGAAGAGCTCAAACACTTTTCAAGCTTTATACCACTTCTTAATGGCGCATTGAAGGTTAACTTGAAAGTGTCGCAGCATCCTCTGCCCTTCAGACGTGGTGAGAGAAAGAGGGGAGAAAAAACCTTTAGAGAGAAAGCAAGGAGCTCTCATATCAATCAATCAGGCTTAAAAAGTAGGAAAATGCCACTTCTAAATGAAATTCTCTTGTCTTGGACTGAGCTGCAGCTTGAAAAGSCTGGTCACATGAGGGTTTAAAAGGAAATCTATTTTCTGGGCTGAAAATCAAACTGGCTATCATTCTGTCCTCCTCACCTCTCTCTTGGGAACGTGTCAGATATATAACACTCAGTCATTTTCTCAGCTGTCAAAGCCGGCTCTGCTTCCCTTTTACCCATGCAGTCAGCTTCAGATTCCAATCTGCTCAAACGCTTCTGTGTGCTCTATCAAGTACAGTTTTCAAAAAAAAAAGGAGAAAAAAAAGCGTGTTTGGAATCCTAAGGAGTTTCTGTCTTTTTTTTAATTAATTTTTAATGTGAGTGTGTTGAATGGTGTGTGGTTAGGGGGTCTGGTTCGGGGTGGCAGAGCAAAGTGGGTCACGACAGAGGTTAGTGCTGAATTAGTGACTGTCACAGCCGGGACRGGGGGGGAGCGCCGACACCAGGGCAGCTCACTCCCTTTCACTCACAAACACACACACGTACAGTTCTTCTGTTTTTTTTTTTTTTATAGAAATATATAACTTCAAGAGGTTCTGTCATGGATCTGAGCCAGCAGGCCATGACACCCAAGGGGGTGCTGGAACAGGAGGACATGTCCAGTCTGTCTTTTTGTGTTCCTATGCACAGATGCATGGCACTGTGTTTCCATAAGACAAGAGCRTCTGACCTGCCACATCTCAAACTGTTTGCCCTTGCCAAAACGGTTCACACAAAGAAATAGATCCAACTTTCTCCCTTTTTTTCCCCTCTTTGAAACACTTCTTTGATGTTTTCTCTTTTTACAGCCTGGAATAATTTTTTTTTATAGCAGTCATTCAATATGCAAAGATCCTCTCGTTCTGAGAGCAGGATGAGTCTTCACGAAGCCCTTTTTGTATCAGCATCCGCTTTTCAGGGCTGACTTATGGAAATCAGTCTCATTACTCCTGCCTCCTTACGGTTCAAACTCTCACATAAAAACATAATGATCCAAGCTGTTTCTGTTGTCTGCAGTGTCAGTCAACGATTTTTCTTTTTCTCTTCTTCTTTTTTYATTTTGATGTGCTAAGTCTCTTCAGTTTCTACCCTCAGAAAGTCTGGGATAATTATAAGAAAAAAAAGGCCCGCTATCAGAGCAGATTAACAACATCTCACCAGGCTGAACTCCGCACTCGCTTTCATCTCCTCAAATGCTGCAGAAGAGAAAAAAGAGGAGTTACGCAACCCTCACCTCGGGGACCCATCCGACTTTCCACCCAACTCCTGTCTGTCTTGGCACGTCAGCGGCGACTGCTAGTTCTGTGCTATTTGATGTGAGCGTTTGAAGCAGCCGTGTGACCGAGGCTGAAAGGATCTGCCTGTTGTTTGCAGCTTTGGCCTGTTCTCCCGGAGGAGGGGGTGGGGTGGGTTTCAAAGCACGGCGGAGTTTGGACCTTTACTGCTTCTGCATTTAACACCTTCTCAAATCACAGGGTCAAGGTGCTGGGCAGCTTCCGTCCCAACCTTTGCTTTTATCGTCTCTCAAAGGATCCCGTGTCATTAGCAAGACTTAAAAAAGACCTGACTGCCTCCCACTGTCATTTAGCAAAGATTGCATCCACCACACACACACACACACACACATAGGGTTTTACTATCTTGTTGAGGACTTGCATCGACTTCCACTATTTTCTACATCCTAACCCCTTACCCTAAATATAGCCACCTGTACAGCCCATACACAGGTCCTGCACAAGGTTAACCTCCTATTACAAGTTTCAACACAGAGCATGATTCGAATCAATAACTGATACATAGGCTACTACCTTTCTAACCAGGATACTCTAAATCAGTGTTTCCCAAAGTTGGGGTCGGGACCCAAAGTGGGGTCTCGAAACATCAAGATGGGGTCCTGAAAAGATTTTCTGAATCAATTACATTTTTGCCTTAGTTGTTACAAAGGAGTGAGGTTAGTGTATTTAAATGTACAGTAGTATAAAAAATATTGTTACTRTGTCCATGTTTTGTTGACCTGATACAAATGTGTATCATCCAAAAACAGCTGGGGGCACAGGCCTCTGCTACTGTTTTGTACTATTCTGTGGGTCAAAAACTGAAAAGTTTGGGAACCACTGCACTTTGGTTCCCAAAGTTGGGCTTGGGACCCAATTATGGGTCATGAAGCACCTTGGATAATCTCCAGAAATCAATTTAAAGGGTAATAAAATAATTGCTGATGTAATATWTTCCCTATAATTATTACAAAAACACAGAATAAGTAAAAATAAGTATTTATATTTGTGTACAAGCTGTTTAGATTGTCAAAAAGCCTGTGTTTTTAGGGTTATTAACTAAGTTTGTGTACTCAGACCAGTAATATTTGGGGTCACAAGTTTTTGCCATGAATATTTTGWGGGTCAGAAGACAAAAAGTTTGCGAACCACTGCTCTAAATGCTTAACTACCCAATCTGTGCCCTCATTTAACCGTCCACAAATATTTATATAGCATTTAGTGAGGTGTTCCAAAACATATGTCTGCAGATGGAGTAAGCATTTTTAAAGGAAGCCATTTCTCTAGGGCCACACCTGATTAGACAAACAAAATCAAGTACAACACGAGTGGACGAGCATGTCACAGGGTTCATGCAGGTTTCAGTAAGTTAAATTAAAGACCTTTTAAGACCATTAGTAATGACATTTACGACCAAATCGACGCATTAAGAGAAACATTCAAATTGTCCCAGGAATTTTATAACAGAAACCTTTTATTGCTATCATTGTAGTTATTAAAGAATATTTAATTTCAATATAAGACCACTAAATTGTTTGAATAAAACGGTCATATCTGACTGCTGTGAACCACTTTCAACCGAGTGAAAAAAAATCACTGATATCAAGTCAAGCCTCATTGAAAACACACTTTCCCATATTTAAACAACAAGCAGTGGACATGACTGAATTTCTGTTTTTTTTTGAGCAGGTAAATAAGCCGCTGTATGTGGGGGGTTGTAGCGGCAAAGAGGTCAAAAACATGGGAGTAAACTGTGACATTTTTGCCTGCAGTTATCATGGGATTTGTAGTTTAATCATGACCAGTAGTAAACTTAGCACTTCATGAAGACAGATCGTGTCAACCTCTGATTACGACTCTTAACTTTCTTTATTTATGCAGCCAACGGTTCTCAGGAATGATCAAAAGTAGAAAAAAATTAAGACTTGACAAAATTATATTTAAGACCTTGGGTGAAAATCTGGGCATTTTTAAGACTTTTTTTAGGCCTAAAATTTTGATTTTCAAATTTTAGACTTTTTTTAGACTTTAAGACCCGGCATGAACCCTGATGTCATTGTAAGTGTTTCTCAAGGACCACACCTGATTAAATGAAWGTTGCATAGGTGTTTCTTCATAACAGAAAGTGGTCAAAATTAAGGTCTGTCAAATTACTTTTTCTTTTTTATATATCAATGGTTTACTTCTCTACCAACACTTTATTTTTTCACGAGCTTGATGTTGTAACCGAGGGYATCAGAAGGATTAAACGATAATAACAGCAGGGTTAGGGCTGGGGTCAGGGTTAGCCAACCAATGTTTACGCTGTAGAAATGTCTACCCTTTAGAAATGCCTACTTTTTGAGTCCTCTCGGTTTTCTCCCAGAACCCATGCACCTGTTGGTCGATGTTTCTGTCCCAGCGGCCAGGGTCAGGTTTTTTAAAGGTAATCAGACTTTGTTTCTCTTTCCTGGTCCTCACTCCTCCTGCTGTGAATGATTGTTCCCTGACCCAACGTGTTGGCGGCTGTCAGTCAATCACCTTCCTAAAGCTAATAATACGAATTATGATTGGTCAGACCATGCGTCTCATGGACTATTAAATCTTGAAGTCAAACAGTCRGGTACTTTGACACGTGACCATGCTATAGATGGAGGCTGACATATTGGTTTGGAGGGAAAGAGGAGGAGTTTCTCCATGGAAAAAAATAGGAAAATTGTAAAACAAATTGCTGTAAAAGGACTGCACTTCTCACATATAAATACATCCAGAGAGAAAATAGCCTATTTCAATTTTCCAACTACAAGAACAAGAAGGGAAAAATGTTGTGACCAGACGAGCATTTTGTGTCTGATTCAAAACACACTAAAACTGACTAAGCAGCTACATCATAACTATAAAATCCAAACATTATACATCATAGATCTAATTACTATCCTGCTCTTGCTGTCTCTCCATCGCCACCAAACTCCATTAAACTTTCGAATGCTTTGATTTTCCCTTTACTGTTGATTTCTTACTGCTTGTCAATTAACTTTTGGCCTTGGTCAGAAAAGTGGTCAGGGTGTTCAGTTCCTTTGGTTTAAGAGAAAGATGAGACTGATTGTGGTGTTTTTTCCACGAGATTACAGTGTTTCCTGCTGTCTAGAGCTGAAACGCTTCAAACTGGATGATCCTTTTTAGGAAAAAGATAGTGATTTATACTAGTCATCATAGTTTTGGTTTTACTTGACCTATTGACATAATTTTAAAACTGGTGTTTAGTTTGAAGTCTCTACATTTGACACAGCTTGTAACAGAGTCTCAGAGAGGCTGTGTCTTTCCGGTTAAAATGTTTGAAAACCATCATGTGAATCAATCATGTGACATCTTATACCGGTGTCAGGTTGTAAAGTCTCCTCCTAATTATGTGATACACACACACACAATATTTTTTATCACTTGCTAAAGACTGATTATCTGAACAGCACTACGTATTTTCCTCCACGAAGAATTAAAGTTGAAATCGCATGACAGATGACATCATGCTGACTTTGAGAAAGGTGTGTTCAGAGACAAACATTGAGCAACCACCTGACATGCACTGATTGTTGGGCTTCAGATGGAGCTGGGATCTAAAGTCAATTCACAACTTGGTTAACCCTGATCATATGATGTTGCGAGGCAAAATGGGTCATCTAATGTCAAACTAAATCCCACAAGGATATCAAGATATGCATGCTAAAAGTAGCAGAAAACTAGCAAAATGCTAAAAAGGAGCAAAACACTTGTTAAGGACCAAAGATAAACAGTAGCTAAAAACTGAATCTAGCAAGACTTGCTAAAAGTATCAGCAGGCAGAAGCTAAAAACRTTGGGCCTCATGCAAGAACATGTTCATATTCTTATCCTAAATTTCTCTTACTTTTGTTCATATGAAGGTTTCGTACGAACATGTCACGTCAGATTCAACAAACTCTTCTATCTTCAGGATAAGTGTGTAAATGAGCTGCGTAAATTCCACCTGTTTGTATCCAGCTGCTCGTGCACGCGAGAGGAGATTAGCATAATTACCACCCCAAAAACACCATATAAGGCTATGTTTCCTGCCTCAGATACAAGGAAGTGTCCATTCATGAAAATGACAGTGAAAACTAAAAAGAAGAACTTTACAAGTTCAGAGATTGAAGTCCGTCTGTCAGAGATCCAGAAAAGAAAATCTGTCATTTTTAGCAGGTCAGCTGTGGAATAAAAAGAGCTGCTAAAAGTATAAACAACTGTGTTAAACCATTTTCATTTATTCAGAAGCCGCACCGTCTCGCACCGTACCACCCCACCCCCACCCCACACTTGCGGTTTCAAGTGGTCTCAGTTGCGGTTCTGAAATAAGCATTTTAAAATGTTTTCACTTTGGAGAAAATCCAGGACTTGCTGGAGGGATTATGTATCCCTTCTGGTCTGGGAACGTCTTTGAGTCCCCCAGGACGAGCTGGAAAGTGTCGCTGGGGAGAGGGAAGTCTGGGTCTCTGCTGCTGCCCCCGTGACCCGATAGCGGGTAAGCCGGCCGGCCGGACAATTTATATTGTTAGTCTAAATTATTACATTTAAAATTATAACTCTAATTCAAGCAAAATAGACTACTGTCGACATTATTATGGAGTGTAATTTATTTTCAACTCAAAATATCTTCAAACTAATGAAATATAAAGTTATTAATGAAGAAAACCCGTCTGGATAACAGCAGACTGACTGCTCGTAAAATATACGACAGGTCTGGACCACTCGTAAATTTTGTTCGTATCTGAAAAAAATCTTAGAATACGAAAACATTGGTGAATGCCACAAATTCTCCTAAATCACTCGTACGCACAACTTAAGAACAAATCTGTGCGTACGAACGGTTCTTGCATGAGGCCCATTGTTAAAACCAATTTGTGATCGTAACTCTCTGATGAATGATAAATACCTGTGCAGCTTTTAAACTTCTGTTCAGTAGTTTTCTTTAAAATGTGCATACTTCTTACTTTTATGAAGCTAAATTATGAAAAATATAACAAAAATTCAAATGTACTTGGGCTGTAGCTGTAATCTAAAATAGCATGAAGTTACCCAAAGGCTGAATGCCAAAATAAAATAAATGGTTGGGGGTGGGGTGGGGGGAATAAAGAATTAATAAAAAAGTAATAATCTGCAAATTGTTTTTCATTTTTTTTCCAATGATAGTTTTTCTTTCCATATATCACTCACTTATTTTGCTTTTTGTCTGCTGAAGGACACTAACAATATCTGCTGTTGTCTTGACTTCCTCTTATTCCTGATGTCATTAACCAGCATTTTTCTTTTCATAGAAGCCTCACTTGGACAAATCTTGCAGTGTCTATACCTTCAATAACACTACCTATTTTATTAAAAATAATAATAATAATAAATTGCTGGACAACCTCCGTTCTGGCATTCACATACATTTAACTTTAGTACTTGCCATCTCCCTAAACATTTTAGCGGATTGGTTATAGCATCATTGCAGATAGCAACAGCACTTTCCTACAGCAGTAGAAAAGAAGTGGAGCCTATAAAATGTATAAAAGGCTTAAAATGGCTCATAAAACACAAGTCTGATGTGCTCAATGTTTCTTCTTTGTTCTTT